CTGTAAAATCTAATAATCAGCTAGTTCCTGAGGTGTAGTAGTGAGTAGTGCTCTGCTGTGAAACAATATAACTATCAACCTGAAAGGTTTTACTATTTTTTTGAAAATCACAAGTCTTAAGATCTCCAGACTATGTTAATAACACAACAACATATACTGTGTAATATGTAAAATAAAGAGTTTTGGTATGTCTATTCTTGCTTTTGAAATTGGCTTACTATTCTTGATTTTTCTTTATAATCTCCTGTCAAGTTGCTATTTTCTGAGACTGTTTTGTACAAGTATGAATGATATATGGTATAATTTTTCTTCAGTCTATTCAAGAGAAGTTTTAGGTTCACAATAAAATTGTGCAGAAGATAACAGATTATAACACCTGTCCCCATACATGCATTGCCAATCTAATTCTCACATCTTCCACCAGTGGTTTATTGGTTAATCAATGAACTTAAATTACACATCATAACAACCAAGTCCATAGTTTAGACTCCATCCTTAGTGTGATGTATGTTTATGCATCTGAAACATACTTGACACCTGTAATCCTAGCTACTCAGGAGGTTCAGATCTGAGGATCAGTTTAAAGCTAGCCCCAGCAGGAAAGTCTGTGAGACTCTTAATTAACCCGGAAGTGATGCTGTGGCTCAAAGTGGTAGTCTTGAGCTGAAGAGCACCCAGACCCAGAGTTCAGGCCATACGACCAGACCAAAAAATATAAAATAAAAAACAAAGTAATGAAAATAAAAATAAAAAAACCCCACCACATTTACTTATTGTATCACACAGACTAGATTTACTGCCCTAAAAAGCCTCTGTGCTCCACTGGAACATTTGAGTGAACTCTCAAAGTCTAAGAAATTACACCAGAAATATTCAGACTACAAACAAACCACAAAGTAATGAAAACAAAGCAAGATAAGAAAGGGGAACTCAAGACACAGATATCCTGAAAAAGAATCAAACTGATATTTGGAAATGAAAACCTCAGTAAGTCAAATAAAAAGCTGTAGAAAGTCTCTCCAGTAGCATGGATCACACTGGAAGTGTGTCTGGCCAAGGTACATTGTATGAGTATAGATATGTCAAAATGAAACCCCCTTATACTGATACTAATAAAAATGTGGGAAAAGGCTCACTGTAATACGACATAATATAAAATTGCATTCACATAGGAAATCTGTATTGGAATCAAGCTTTCTAAATTGAGTAATAACCCAAATCCTTTGTATTCTCATATCCAAGTGCCAACCAGGCCCTGTCCTTCTGAGATGAGACAAAATGGGACTATGGTTGTAAACACATGCTTGATATTTATAATGGTTCTTGAAATTCTTTTGAATTAAATTAGCTAATAGGCAGACACTTGCACATTTTAAAGATGAATGAGTTAGCTTGGTAAATTTCTGTATCAAGTTAGAAGAAAAAAAAAAAATCAAGCCCAGCTTGAACTGTCTCACACAGACTTCAATAAGCATTTTTAGCTAACACAAAAATTTTATGTTACCTGCTGTTATTACTGTGAAATCACACTAAATTGGTAAACTCACTCACCATCCTGCATGAAAGCCCACTTGCAGAGGGCTTGCCAACAATCAAACTAGAATTGTCCTAACCCAGTTAGTAAAGATGTGCGTTGGTAGTTCACATCTATAATCCTAGCTACTTAGGAGGCTGAGATCTAAGGATCATGTTTCAAATCCAGCCCAGGCAGGAAAGTCTGTGAGACTCTTATTTCCAATTAACCACAAAAAGCCAGAAGTACAGTTTTGGTTCAAGTGCTAAGAGTGCTAACCTTGAGCATAAAAGCTCAGGGACATGGCCCAGGCCAAGCATTCAAGTCCTAGGACTGGGGGAAAATTAGATACCAACAATGCAAGTCCATTTAGGGCTCAAACTTCAGACACCATGCCTATCAGGGTAGGGCACAGACCGTATAGGATGATTTCTTTTCATGAGAACATGAGGAACTACTCTGTACTAATCTAGTCAGTTCACACATCCTGGTTAGCTATCCATGTAATTTTACTAATAGTATAGTTATTAGTATTAATTATAACTGATCAACAAACTATTCCCAAAGGAAAAGCTACTTCAAACATTTATTACCCAAACATCTCCTCTGTACCAAAATAAAGGATACTAGAAGCATTTGTAACTAATGCGACATTTCTAATTAGAACACCATGCTGTCTATGAGGTTATGTGAAATCTACTACAGCTACCAAAGGTAACAGGTCCAGGGCAACTATAGACACATTCAAAAATCAACATGGCCTATTCTGAAGAGAAAGTAAGTTGCAAACACAATTACCAAAAAAATACCATATTTCTCCAGTTCCTCAGGACACAAATGTTTTATTTCAGGTGATCAAAGGATAGGCAATATGAAGGCAGAAAGATTTCTTGCCCCAAACAAGAATGTTATGTGCTATTATTTCAGGAAATTTTAATTAACCTTTACTGGCACTCCTTGATATCACAGATATTTTAATGATAAAAAAAAATCACTGTGGAAGTGGTGCTGTAGCTCAAGTGGTAGAACACTAGCCTTGAGCTGAAGAGCTGAGGGACAGCATTCAGGCCCAGAGTTCATGCCCCACGACCCACAGAAAAAAAAAAGAAAAGAAAAAAAATCACTATGTTTCCCTATTATTATAGAACTGGAGTTTATAATAGTTTTATTTGAAATATATCAATTCTGGGTGGAACTACAACAGATGTACCCATTCATTCATAGTAAACACAAGATTACCAAACATGTTTCAAAAGGCAAAACTAAATTTTTTTTAAAAAAAGATGTATTCTCCTATATGATACATATGAAATGAAGATATAGATACCACACAATCACTGGCTCTGCTGCAAGTGCTCTGCCTAGTGGTCTTGCAATGCAACTAAAACAGAATTAGTAACAATGATCAGGTCAAAGAGAATACACATAAAAGAGGAAATTCTTTATTAAATCAGCAACTTGATGTTACATTTGGAATCATTAGTTTAATTCTAAATAGCTGGAAACATACAGCTTTAACTGTTCAAAGATATGCATCCTTACTAAATCCTTATTAATAGGTGCAATTAAAAAAGTTAGATTGAAGCAAATTTGGTTAAATGATCAAAATTAAATTCACTAAAAAAGAATCTAACAAATCATTCTTGATCTAACAGTTATTAAAAGCCTATTATATCTCAGTATTGTTCTAGATACATACAGAGGGAAGAACAAGAAAATCTGCTTAGATAAGTTCTAAAAGTGCTATAATTATTGCTCTCTTGCTCAAGGTTAGTGCTGTACCACTTTGAGCCACAGTGCCATTCTGGTTTTCTGGTGGTTAATTGAAGATTCTCAGCTTTTCCTGTTTGGGCTGGCTTTGAACCATAATCCTAGATCTCAACATCCTGAGTAGCTATAATTACAGGTGTGAGCCTCCAGCACCTGGCTCACAATTCCATGTTTTGTTTTGTTTTTGTAAAGGTGATGCACAGTTACATAATAAATACATTTCTTTTTGAACAGTGTCACCTCTTTCCTTGTTTTTTTTTTTCTTGATCTCCCTCCCCATAAGTTGTTTATTTCATTTTCAACATAATGTCTAGTATCACTGCTGTATTTGTTCACCCTGTCTCATTTCCATGCTTCCCCTTACACTTTCCAAAACATGTGGGACAAAAGGTACAAAAGTCAAAAACAGCAACAAAGGAGAAACAAAAAATCAAAATAATGTAAAACCTCATTTCTATTTCCTAGAGTTGATTCATTTCAATTAACATTATTTTATATGATCAGGGACAGCATCCAGGTCTTGAGTTCAAGACCCATGATTGACAAAAAAAAAGGAATTGTATGAATTTTGAATTGTATGTGTATGTTGCTAGCATATAAGAAAGCAGTTGGCTTTTGAATATTAGTATTGTATTCACTAGTAAAGTCTCTTGCCACTTTAAACATCAGTTAACTAGTTCCAGAAGTTTTTGTCATGTCTTTGCAATTTTCTATATCAATGATATCATCTGTAAATAAAGTTTTATTAAAAACACTGCTTTCTTGATTATGAAGGAAAATTGTTCCATGAAATGTTGACTATTTTCCTAATTATGTTTGGATCTATTTCTTGACACATACATAAAAATATTTTTATACTTAGCAGTTTCATTTTTTTCTTGAACACATCCTAATAATCACAAACTTTTTACTTGTTGCACAGTAGCTGGGCATCCTGAGACTGCCAGGGACTTGAGTCTATCAGGCACTCGCCTTGGGTTACATCCCAGGAGTGTACATGGGCCTGGGAAGGGGGCCTTATAGCAGTGAAGAGTCCTTCCCAGGATGCAGCACCTGCAGCAGTCATCTCCAGGCCATTCCTCCAGTGTGCTCTGTGCCTAATGGTTCTCAATCATCAGTAGTTTAAGGGACTCTTTATTCAGGGAAAGGGGTAGTTACGATTAGTATTAATAAATAAGGGCTAGGAAGGCTAAGTGAATCTTTTCCCATGAAGAACGAGCATATCCAAAAGCTAGTGTATTTTTTCTACTAGAGAATAAGTTATCATTTTAGAATATTTTATTATAAAAAATATCTGCATGCTACAAAACATGTTCCAGTGAAAAACTACCCAATCTACATAATCGCTTAATGATTATTTTGCTACATTTTAGTGTAGAAAATTACAGGCAAATGGGGGATATACATTAAGTACTTACTGAGGCATTTACTGCATTAAATAGTTCTGAGAACAAGAAAATCTGCCCTGAAGACTACGTTGTATACTATTCATGGACCTTTCCAAAAGGCATACTTTAAAAATCATACAGAACTGTTTGGATTGGTATGGCAATGTCTCATCAGATTGTTTGCATGGAAATCTCATGCAAAAACCAGTAACAGAATAATATTGCTGCCAAGTTCAGATGATTTTAATATTTCACTGAGCAAGGTCCTTTGAGAAACAGTTTGCTTTAAAATCTAGTCTCTAGCAATTCAAAATAAGAGACAATACTCATATGCTTTGCTTTTTTAATAGTAAACATTTTACATATGGCTTGATTGAACTTTCAAACTGTAGACTCAATATAGCAATTATTAATCTATAGGGAGCTTATTCTCAGTAGACTAACAAGTCATGAAGAGTACAGCTAGCAGAACAAGGACCTAACCAATCATGAATGTACACTCAAGACTCAGATTCAGAAACCTCATCAGGGCAGCAGTAATATTCTACAAAACATATTTGCCCATCTTCATTTCTAATCATATACTGTAATGAGAGGAATCCTCGGTTATCTGTCCGAATAGATACTTTACAAGATAAGACTAAAGCCTTCGTAGAGGGTTTCAGTAAAGAAATCTTGTATCTGTAGAGGAATAAATAAAAAGCTGTTATTTGGATATTCATAACTTAGTGCTCCTAGCTCTGAAAATTAGACAAGAGTTAATAAATAAAAGCAAAAACGTATTCCATTTACTAATATTTTCTCCATTAAAAGATATTCTATTACAAGCTCAAATCTCTAAGTAAAATCTAGCACCCTGTCATTCCATTATTTTAAAATGTTCTGCATTTTAATTTAATAGATTAAAAGTTGTGGGTTTTTTTTAAGAATAGAAATTTGGTAGCTGACCCCACCTTTATCACCACTGGCAATGTTTATATTAAGAACTGACCTGTTGACCTGGGTCTGACTACAATGAAATGCTTCCATTAAATCCGAATCCTTGGGATAGTCAAGGTGGGAGCTTCCTCCATTTCCAAAAGTAGATAACCTATAGTAGGAAATGAGCATTGTATTTATTCAGTATTTCAGCAACACACAACATTAGGATCCAGATAAACACTTCTTTCAGAACCTCATTCTGGGGCTGAGAGAATGACTCAAATGGTAGAGCACCTGTCCACCATGTATAGGGCCTTGAGTTCAAATCTCATATTGCCAAAAAAATAACCCAAGTTTCTTGAGCTGAAACAGACATATACAATTGTTTACAATATTTTATTTTTTAATTATCATGATGAAACAAGTACTGCTACATTGACCAGAATAGGCTTAAGCGCATGGTCTTGCTGCTTCAGCCTCCCAGAATACTAGGATTGCAGGCATGTATCGCCATACCCAAGTATGATACACTTTATAAACACCCTATAATGGGATCTCATAGGGTACACCTTTGGGAACATAGAGCTATTAGCAACTAAACAACTTTTTAAAAAGTTACATTATTTCTGTACCTCCCACTCTACTACTGAATATCCTTAAATTGGATATAGGAGAGATGAAGCAAAATTGAAGTCAACTCCAAGCCCTGTGTCCCTCTCTCAATCTTTACTGCCACATCAAACATCATAGCTTTTCTGTACTTTATGCTGCTCTTACGGTTTACACTGCATTATGGTTTTTCTTGTTTGGTAATGTCAGCAGTGGTGTTTGGATAACTGTAAATGTTTATATATTTAATCTGCAACAATTTATTGAACATTTGCTGAGGGTTTAGCATGCAGGTAAGCAGAACATGAACAGTGATCAGACTTTGGTGGTGTTTTCCCCTAGCTTATTCTCCATTCCCCATCTTTGGTCTTCCCTAAGTCCATCTGTTCTCTCTCCTTAAGAGGGGTGGGTACTGTCCACCTGTAGGTCCAATGAGGCCCCAAAAATCATTGACACTGCCAAGGCAACCACAGGCAGGACTGTGTGCCCATAAATGATGTTAAAATAACTAAATGCCCTTGGCAGAAAAAAGGATCCCTGCTCCTTACTCAGGTAGCCAGCCATGATGACAGTTCTTAAACCTTAATTTCCAGTCTAGCCTGATCTGCCTCATCTAGCTACTCCTTGGTATTATAGACACCTCAAATTTAACACATCCAGAAAAATTTTTTAACTTCTATCTCTCACATTTTTTTCCCCTCCTGGAGAAGAAAGATCCCCCTAGTTCCCATGCTGTAGGCTCATTTAGAAGGGAATTTGCTGAAGCACTGTTTTAACTGCCTAAGTGGGGTTTTTCTGTTGCTTCCTATTTTGGTTAACATTGTAATATATACATCTTGAGCCCAATTTTTATCTGCTTAATGTCATTAGAAGGGCCTGCAATTTTTCTACACACAAAAAGAACTTATATGTCTTGTATGTTTTATGTACTCAGTTCCTTACTTTTGCAATAGTTTCAAGTATTTCACCCAGAAAAATTTAGATTTCCTGTCTATAAATGGTTGTTTTAAAATTCCTTTTTTTTGTTGTTGGTTATGTGGCTTGAACTCGGGTCTTGGGTGCTGTCCCTGAGCTCTTCAGCTCAAGGCTGGCACTCTACCACTTGAGCCACAGTGCCATTTTTGTTTTTTTTCCTGGTGGTTTATTGAAGGTAAGATTCTCACAGACCTTCCTTCCCAGGCCAGCTTTGAACAGCAATCCTAAAATCTCAGCTTCCTGAGTAGCTAGGATTATAGGCGTGAGTCACTAGTGCCTGCTGATTCTAATCTTGAAAAAAAAAACCTTGCCATTTTATACTTTGTTGGGACAAAGTTACTAAGAGGAGCTTTGTAGCTGTTATTGTTTCCTACTGCAAACTGCCTTCCTCTGGAAAGCTTACCTGGACCAGTCCTACCTGAGTGGTCCAGTACCATTTTCCCAAGTATGAGTATTATTTTGGTATTTTGAGTTTATTCCCATTCTACTTCACATATCTCTTTAACTTCAAGCTGTTCCTGTCAGAGCCTCTATAGGATGGACATGTACACAATAGGCGGTGGGTGAGTACACATGCTAAGTAAACAAACCATGTACGAGAAATATCTACTTCATTTTTATACCCTGAATTTAAGAGAAAAAAAATGCTATGTAACATTTTTCAGATGTTTAAATCCAATATTCCTCAAGTTGCAACCTGATAAACCACAGTAAGAAGTACACGATGAACAGGCCAGTTTTTAGGGGTTGATATTCCCCAGGTCTATCATCTCCCTCTTCTCTTCTCATGGATCAGGTGACTGGGCTTCTTATCTACAGAACCTAAACTACTTATGAAATTCTAATTAGTGAGTTACTCTTTCCAGGTCTTATTTTTTAATCTATGAGGTAGTATGAGGTAAAGCTGGGCACTGGTGGCTCAAGCCTATAATCCTAGCTACTCAGGAGGCTGACATCTGAGAATGGTGGTTCAAAACCAGCCAGACAGTAAAGTCTGTGAGACTCTTACTTCTATTAAACTACTAATAAATGTCAGAAGAGAAACTGTGGCTCAAAGTGGTAGAGTACCAGCCATGAGCAAGGCAGCATTCAGGCCTCAGGATCAGCACAGACACATAAGTATGAGGTAAAAGATGTCTGAAGTTCTAGAAATTCTAGGAACCTAATCAAAAAAGTCTGCAACCTAAGCAAATGAAGTGGGAAGAGGGACCTAACAGTAGACCACATTACCTAGAACTGCACTCAAGTACCTGAAATATGGCTTGTCAGGAGACATGGTAATCTGGAAAACATCACTTGTCATGTCCAATTCAGAAAATGCTTCACGGAGCCCCTCTGACTGCAGAATAACTTTGTTAATAACGTTGGTGCTGCTGAAATCAAAATCTAGAGTCTCTTCAGGCTCCTGAGTATTGATTTTGCAGACTGTCACTACTCCTCCTTCTTCCAGAAATAGTATCAAAGGATGACCATAACCTTGATAACACATCCGAAGTGCAGTATAAGTCCCTGCTGTGGAAAAAAGTCATCCTGGACTTAATTATTGGCTTTATGAATGAGTTCAGCTTCTTCTCAATGTGACACATAAAATTCCTAAAGATTATTCTGCCAAAATTCCAGGACACATCTCATTAAAAAGCATAATTCCAAAAACTATTGCAAGAAACTGGGCCCAGAACAACATATAAACCTCTGAAATAATTTTAAGCTTGCCAGAATACGTCAAAAAATAGCATACTGACTCTGTGTGTATAAGGTATGTGAATATAAATATGTAAATACAGACATATACACCTATATATAATTTCAGGATGGAAAAAATGTACATGGCACCTAACAGAATTATTGCAGAATAGGTTATGTTATTCACTGAAGGGTCAATATGGGCAACAGGATGGTTTGGATATATGTACTATAGTACTAGTATATTCACTATGATAAGGATCTTCTCAACTTCTACTGGGAAACAGTCTTTATATACTTTGTTAGAGCACATTAAGAACAAGAGAGGGATAAAAGGGCATTGTAAATTTTTTTTTTCTTTTATCAGTCGTGGGGCCTGAACTCCGGCTGGGTGCTGTCCCTGAGCTCTTCAGCTCAAGGCTAGCACTCTGCAACCTGAGCCACATGGCCACTTCTGGCTTCTTCTGCTTATGTGATGCTGAGGAATTAAACCCAGGACCTCATGCATGCAAGACAAGCACTCTACCACTGAGCCACCTTCCCAGCCCCAGCACTGTGAATTTTAATACTATAAGAAAGGACTATTTTGTATAACTTTTTATGTCTTTGTAATCATAATAAAATGGCTCACCAGGCATAGAACTTGATCCAAAAATAGATAAACAATCTAAAAGCACAGTAAAATTAATTCGGAAAGTAACAGATTCTTCCTTTATCATAAACTCTCGAAATATGTCAGCCTATAAAAAATAAACATGAAAATAATAAAACATTAAGGTTGGGGAATCTCAAAAATTACAGTACTATCTCCATAAGAATATTTTATTTTCCAAGTAAAACAGTGAAGATTTTTCAGGCATTCTTCACTGGAACAGCTTAAACAACAGTATTCAACAGCTTAATAGTTAAAGGTGTAACTGATTTAGGCAAAATCACTTAATCTCTGTATCTAAACCTATCTCCCCCTAAGACACTGTTTCCTTTTGCTCTGCATCCTAAGGTTAGAATCACCTGAAATAAAATGATTTGATGATGAATACTAGTTTTCAATTTATTTTGCAGAGCCACATTTTATGTAGTGTTCCAGCTCTACAGTAATCATCTACAGTTAGGAGGTCAAAAACTGGAATTGAATCTGAACCCAACACACTTTATTACAGCTAATAAAAGAAACAACAATGCTGCGCACCTGTGGCTCCTGCTTTTAATCCTAGTTACTGGGGAGACTGAGATCCAAGGATCACGATTCAGAGCCGGCTCAGGGGGAAGAGTCCCTGAGACGCTTATCTCCAATAACTACTGGGAAAAAGCCAGAAGTGGAGCTGTGCTCTGGTGGCAGAAGTTGTTAGCTATGAGCAAAAAAAAAAGGCTTAAGGGCTGGGCTTAGGCCTGGAGTTCAAGCCCCAGGACCCTCACACACACGCACAGAAGGAAAGAAAACGGGGGAGGAGGAAACAGTAAATAACAGGTAGTAGGAGCGCCCTGTCACTTGAGCCGCAGCTCCATGTCTGGCTTTTTGGGTAGTTCACTGGAAGTAAGAATTTCCCGCAGACTTTTCCGACGGGGCTGGCTTCAAACTGCGATCCCAGGATCTCAGCTAGCGAGGCTTACAGAAGCCTGCTTTAACGGGTAGCTTTCACCCGACTCTCACCGAACAAGATGGGGAAAGACTCTGACACCAGGAAAGAAGAAGACAGTTCGCGGCCCGCCGGGCACTCCCGGCCGGGCACTCCCGGCCCCTCCGCACCCGTGCGGCCCGCCGGGCACTCCCGGCCGGGCACTCCCGGCCCCTCCGCACCCGTGCGGCCGCCCGGCGGGGGGGCGCGCGCTCCGCACCTGAATGAAGGCGTTCGCCTGGACGCACTTGGCGTTCTCCACCGTCACGCGGATCCCGTTGTCCGTGGCCACACACGTGGCGTACTCTCGGAAGTGGATGGCCTTGAGGATGGTGGAGAGGTTCCGGACGTTGTCGAGGCTGGCCACCAAGCAGTACTGCTCCTCGTCGTCCGGGAGGCCCTGGGCCAGGAGGGGCATGGTCCCCGGCGCCCGCGCTCTGCACACCGCCCGACGCCTGACGGGCGGGGAAGAAATGAACCGAGAGGTTAAACGAGGCCCGCCGCGGGCCCCGGGGACGCCCCCTCGCCGCCGGCCGCACCCTCGACCCGCTCCGGTCACCGGGACCGCGACACAACGAGCACCCAGGATTCACCCGCGCGAGGAAGCGTTCGCCAGGACCGTTAGCCCCGGAGGCCGACGGGCCGCGTTCGCAGGCCCCAGACGGTAGGCTAGAGGCGGGGCCACGGCCGGCGAGGGGGCGGAGCCATGCCCGGGGGCGGGGCCTGGAGCGGAGCCATGCCCGGGGGCGGGGCCTGGAGCAGACACCCCCCCCTCCTCCCTCCCCCTAGACCCGGGGAGATTCCTGGAGAATCCCAGCCACCCCGCCTCTTCACACCTCCCAACCGCCAAAACTCCGACCAACCGCCACTTACTAATGAAGGGGGGCCCTGGGAGGCGTCATCTGTGCCGCGGGAGCGGGATCCGGACGCCGGCGAGCCCGCCCCAGCCCGGTCTCCTCGACCAATGACCGGCAGCTCCCCCAAACCCTAAGGGAAGTGGAGCGTTCCTGCCACTCTTCACACCTGCCAATCACTTCCCTTACAGAATTTGGAGGAGGTTAGCGAGCCAGGCGTGCGCATTCACGAGACCATAGAGTTGGAGGACCGCAGAGCCCAGACGACCCTACTTTAGAAACCGGAAAAAGGAGTAGGCGGTGAAACCGGAAGGACGTCCTAGAGCGTAGACGACGAGGTAAGGTAAGATGGCGGCAACCAAGAGAAAACGGCGTGGAGACTTGCTGGTCAAAGCGAAGAAGCCAAAAAGAGATGGAAAAGATGCCGGGAAGCCAGCTGCGCAGCCAGGCAAGGCAGAAGAAGTGGAGGAAGAAGATAGAGATTGTATCCCAGGCCCCGTTTGCAAGGTAGGAGAGCTGAACGACGGGTACGTGTGGCGGCGGCGCGGTGGCGCTTCCTTGGGCCTTCTTACCCGACCGTAGTTCTGTAATTTCCGAGTGTCCAGTGTGGCAGCCGAGCGCAGTCTCGGGCCAGTGTTGGGTCTAGTCTTGGTCCACGTGGCCGCATTTTGAGGGTGAGATGTGGCAGCTCACAGGGAATTGACTTGGGCCATTGACTTCCACTTGCTCCCCCCCCCCCAACATAATGCTTTTTGTTTTTTTTTCTGCAAGTGAGTATATGTCTTAGAGTAAGTAATTCTTCTATATCCTGCCATGGTAAGCCAGCCAGTCAGAAATCATGATATCCAAACGTCATAAAAAAGTCACTGACCTTGGCACTTTGACTGACTTGTTTGATTAGGTCTTTAACTCAAGGGAAAATGAAAATGTTAGACTAGATGGCATGAGTGTTAAGTATTTTAACCAATCTTTAATATACCATGTGCTGTCCCTGAAAGACCCCAGACTCACTGGGATGCTTTCTTCAACGGGAGGGCACCCCAAGAACCAAGACTCCAAACCAGCAGATGCAACAAGCAAGAGGAGTTTATTAGGCGTTTGGGCAAACGGGCTCCCTGTCCAAGGCAGACTGGAAGCCCCGAGCAGCGGTTACAGGCACTTTTAAAGACAAAAGCCACAAGATTAGCATAAGACCCCAGGTTCCCCAGGATTGGCTCAGTTTACTACACGGGGAAGTTTATAACACTCTTTGCAATAAGACAATTAGTGCAGACGGAGGTAGTCACTCTGGGAGATTAGGGTTAGGAGATTTACAGTGTTACAGGTTTGTGATTGGTTAACAATTTGGCCTAGTCTGCAGAGCCCACCAGATGGCCCTTATCTTGAGCCCCCTAAACCGGGAATTTCTGCACAGGAATGTGGAGGAACATACTCTTTGTTCCTTATCTTGGGTCCCATTCGGCCATTTGGGGGATTTGTTAGCTCTTTATTTACGACTACGGAGCTTGTCCCAGGGCCGACACCTAGACTCCGAAGCTTTTTATTTATCTCCAGCGAGGGGAAGGGTCAGTGCTAGTGCAAGCAAGTTTACAGAAGCAAAACCAGCAGTTAGCAATTGTAAAATATAACTCTAATTTTTAATCTTTCAGTCCCCAAGGCAGGCTGCTTTTGGCCTGGGTATTGGCAGACATGACTATCATGTGACTTCTTTCTGAAAAATAGGAGTTGAGAAGGAAGCGATTGATGGGTTTTATTCAAAAGAAAGTGAGAAGTTGTTGGTGGAGCTAACTTTCATCCGAAAGCTCCTTAACTGAGTTGGAATACTGTGGAAACAAAGATTGCCTTTGATTTATAAATTTGTGCTCTCTGAACTTAGGCTCCAGTAGGTACTGAAGCACCTACTAGGCGAAAAGTAAGTGACCTTGGGTGGTTCAAGGGCAAGGTAGGCTCAGGGAAAAGAGTAAGCTCTGAAGAATGAAAAAGAGCATAAATTGTATTCTTACTATTAAAAGTGGCATCCTCTTTTCTCATCTACAAGCTAAATACTTAATTGTGAAAAATAAACTGGACTAAATATATTTTTAGCAGATAGTAGTAGTCTCTTCAGGAGCTGAAAAAAAGATGATGGACTGTGTAATCTGTTCTATGAAATGCTAAAGATACTATTATTCTAGGATAGCACAGTCAAATCATGGATTTTAGCTATTAATGGAGTTGGGTTTTACAGTAAGAGTACAATTTTTGTTCAGAGTTGACAGGAAAATAAAAAAGAACTGGCCAGAGTTGTTGAAGTGCTCTACCACTGAGCCACCTGCCCAGCCTGCAAAGAGAAATTGAATAGCATTTAGTAGTGGTTAGGATTCAGGAATAAGGGCAGGTGAAGTTAAAGCCTGGAGGACTGCAATGATGGTGATAGCATAAAAAGAAAGGAAACCTATGGGGCTGGGAAGGTGGGTAATTAAGTGGTAGAGTGCTTGCCTTGCATGCATGAGGTCCTGGGTTCCATTCCTTAACACCACATAAGCAGAAAAAGCCAGAAGTGGCAGTGTGGCTCACGTGGTAGAGCACTTGCCTTGAGCTGAGGAGCTAAAGGACAGTGCCCAGGCCCAGAATTCAAGCCCCACGACCAACCAAAAAAAAGAAAGGAAGAGAAAATGCAAAGGAAATACCAGATTTTAAGTGTAAGGTAATGTGCAGTATTGGATACAGTTTGAGTCTTTACTCAAGTAATTGGATTATTAGAACTAGAAGACATCTTCATGTTATGTAGAGTTGGTAATGGAATCTGTGGGAGTATGAGACCACTATGATGGGCAAAACAAATGTAAAAAGGCTAAAAAAAGAAGCCTAAGGATAGGAAGGAGGAATTAGAAAGCTACTGTTTTTGGTATTTGTTGGTTTTGTTGTGAAAAAGGGTTTTACTCTATTGCCTCAGATTTCTGTGTTAAGTAAATCTCCTACCTTATCTTCCTTAGGCTGGGGTTACAAGCATATGCTATCATACCCAGGCTCTGGAAGCTTTTAAAACCATCTTTAAAAAAACAAATGAGAAGCCAGGCGCTGGTGTCTCCTACCTGTATCCTTAGCTACTCAGGAGGCTGAGATCTGAAGATCATGGTTTGAAGCGAGCCTGGGCAGAAAAGTCCCCCTTGAGACATTACTTCCATTAACTACTCGAAAACTGGAAGTGACACTGTGGCTTGGTGGTAGAGCACTAGCCTTGAGTACAAAGAAGCTCAGGGACAGGGCTAAGGCCCTAAGTTCAGGATCCACAACTAGCAGGAAAAGAAATGAGATAGGTTCGGTATGAGAATTAACAATCATTTAATGTTTTATTTAGGGCAAGTGGAAAAATAAGGAACGGATTCTCATCTTTTCTTCCAGAGGAATAAACTTTAGAACAAGACATTTAATGCAGGACCTGAGAATGTTGATGCCTCATTCTAAAGCAGGTACTTTTATGTTACATATTTTAAAATTAGTATTTATCCAGACTTATTTATGTAATTATACTTGCTTATGTGTTCATTTTTCATTTATTAACCTGTGAGACAAAGAACCACAATACTGTGGAAGTCTATCCTTTGAAGTACCATATTCTTCTAAATTAATATTTATAATTTCTGTACAGAATTCATTAGACATTTCTTTTAAAATACCTAAGTAACATTTAAACCTTTTCTAAAGGTCTAGAAATGCCTTCATTTCAATACTTAATGAAGTTGTGACACAAAAAAGGATAGTTTGTCTTTCTAAACAATTCACACTGCCATGTAATATTTTCTTGGCTCTTAAAAACTGACAAGGGATAGGGTTTAAGGTACTTCAAGTTAGTACCAGCCAAATTCTGAGTGCCAAGTTATTTTCTAGTAAGGTTCTATCCTAAAGATGAGATTGGACCATGACACTGCCTGTTTTGTGCCTGATTTAGCAGATGTTTTGAGGTTTTATCCTAGGTAATAACTTGGTGCTTTATGTTAGTGCTTTTCACACGGGCATTTCTTGTGGTGTCTTTAGATCCCTGGAACAATTAGGAAAAGTCTTAATGTATTTTTTTTTTTTATGATAATCCAAAAAAATTTTTGTGTGTGGGGTGCTAACGTTTGAACTCAAGGTCTCAATCCATTCCACTAGCCCCTTTTGGGGTTGTTATCTTCTCAATAAGGTTGGCCTATACTAAGATTCTTCTATTGGTGCTTTCCTATGTCACTGGGATGACAGGTGTATGGTAGGTATGTTCCTGGTATTATAGGTGTATGACTAGCCATTGGTCAAGATGGACTCTCCCAAACTTAATTTTAACAAAGCAGGATGGTTCCAACTGTGATCCCCTGATTGCTACCTCCCAAGTAGTTAAGATTACAGCTGAGTCACATACCTGGCTGCCTGAAACTTAAGAGATAAGATCTCACTCTATAGCCTAGGCTATCCACAAGCTGTGTCTCTTGCCTTAGAATCCTGAATGCTGGGTGTAAAGGTATATTTCACCACATCAGCAAGATTTCAGTTTCTCAAGTGAATGTTTTCTAAAGCTGGAATCTTTAAGCATATTCTCTAATTTGCAAGAAATTTCTCATTTTTGGAAGAAGTTCATGGAATAGAGCCTTCTTTTACATGAGTTTTGCATCTGCAGATGTAAATAACAGTACATAAAAAGATATTAGAAAAGCTGGGTGTTTTAAAGCCAGCCCTGGAAAGAAAGTCCATGAGACTTTTATCGCTAACTACCAAAAAGGGAAAACAAAAGCCAGAGTGCTACCCTTGAACAGTGCTCAGGCCTTGAGTTCAAGCCCCCAGGATTGGCACTGTGGTAGTGGTTGCTCTCTCTTCCCGCCCTCTATCTCTTTCTCTACCCCCTTCTTCCCTCTCCCCCTTTTCCCCCTCTTCCTACCCCTACCCCCCTAGGAAAAACTCATTCCTGAAAGGGATATTTATAGACTTTTCTTGTTATGCCCTAAACACTACTATTTAACAATTTATGTAGCATTTACATTGTAGTAGGTATTTTAAGAAATTTAGAGATGTTTTAAAGTATGCAAGACAATGTACCTAGATTATGTGGCAAATAGAACAGTATTTTATATAAAGGACTTAAGATTTTCATATGGAG